ATTCTCCTCTGTTTGGCTCTTCATTTTCAATGGTCTATTAAACAGCTGGACATTTCCAATGCCTTTCTTCATGGTATTTTAGAGGAGGAAGTGTATATGCATCAACCTATTGGGTTTGTTGATCCCACCAAACCTTCTCTAGTTTGCAAACTCAATAAAGCCTTGTATGGCCTCAAGCAAGCACCTAGGGCCTGGTTCTCCACTTTTCCTCTTTTCTTCTTACTCAAGGTTTTAAGGCTAGTCATTGTGATTCCTCTCTATTTGTTAAAAAGACTTCTCACTCTATCACTATTCTTTTAATCTATGTTGATGACATTTTACTTACAGGAAGTGATTCTTCCTATATTTCCACTCTCATTACTCAGATGCATTCTACCTTTTCTATGAAGGAATTGGGGCTGATCAATTATTTTTTGGCAATCTCTGTTACTACTTCTTCCTCAGGATATTTTTTATCTCAAAGAAAGTATGCTACTGAAATTTTGGTTAAAGCTGGTATGACAAACTGCAAAGCTTCTCCTTCCCCTTTGCCTCTCAAAACTTGTCCTGATTCTGTTGATGATTTACCCTTTTCTCAGCCTTCTCTCTATCGCAGTCTTGTTGGTGCCTTACAATATCTTACTATTACGCGTCCTGACCTAGCTTTTGCTGTTAATCATACATGTCAATTTCTTCAATCCCCTCTTACCAGTCATTTTGCTTTGGGAAAAAGAATTCTCAGATATCTGAAAGGCACTCTTCATCAAGGTCTCCATTTTGCTCCTGGTCCTCTTACCTTACATGCCTTTTCCGACTCAGATTGGGCAGGCTGTTCCCTTGACCGCCGCTCAACCACTGGTTATTGTGTGTTTTTAGGTCCTAATTTGATTTCTTGGTCCGCTAAGAAGCAACCTACCGTGTCAAGATCTTCCACTGAGGCTGAGTATAGAGCCCTTGCTCAAACTGCTGCTGAATTAAGCTGGCTTGGCATGCTACTGTCAGATCTTCATATCACAGTTCCAGCTCCCATGCTTTGGTGTGATAATCTATCTGCAATTTCCTTATCCAGCAATCCTGTGTTTCATGCCAGATCTAAACATATTGAAGTTGATTATCATTATGTTCGCGAAAGAGTTGCAGCCAAGAAACTTCTTATTCATCATGTTTCTTCCATGGATCAGCTTGCGGATTTGTTCACCAAACCTCTCCCCTCTTCTCGGTTTTTGTATCTGCAGAACAAGCTTCTTGGATCTTTCATCCCTCTCAGCTTGCAGGGGCCTGTTAAAGAGTCTAGCCATGAGCAAGCTTCTAGTCCTGATCAAGCTTCTCCAGCTCCAGCTCCAGCTACTCAGTAACTTCCTCCTCATCAGCAGCACCTGCAACTGCTGTGGCCACATCTACATCATTGCTTCAGTTAAACAGTTACAGATCAGTTAGATAATTAACAGAGTAGTTAGTTAGTTACAGAATAAACTAGAGGTAGTTAGTTTGTTATGCATTGGTTAGCTTGAACCAGAGTTAGTTTGTGTAGTTTATATATATCTTCATTTCTGTAAATTGAATATTCATTCATTCTGAAAAATACAAAATATTTTACTTTCTGCAAAATATCTGTTAGATCAGAGGCTTGAGATACCAAGGTGCCACAAAATCCTCACTTGTTCAGTAATATGATTGTATAGGAATTTGTAACTGCTTTTTTAAGGTTTGATATGTCATGGAAAACATCCTTGTTTTTTTTAATTGAGCTGTTTTATTTACCATTGGTTAGATTCTTTCCTTGATCACTTTCTTTCGCTTTTATATTTAAACGATCTAGTGTTTTGAGCTCAGCAATGTGTTCACTAATTGTGAGGTTTCTATTATGATTATATCATTGATGTCAGCTAGTATAATCAAAGTTTTTAAAGGCGAATGCGTACCTCTAGGCGTTTTATCCCTCATGAGGCGAGGCGTAAGCCTCAAGGCATTGAGACATAAGCATTTCAAATTTCAAATTTTAATATTTAGTGAATAAATTAAATATTTTAAAATAGTAAAAACATAAAAACAAAATTAAATATAAAGGTGTAAATACTTTTCGCCTTAAGGCGTAGAACATTTTACTACATAGAAGAAAATTTTCCTTCACTAAAAGTGAAATTGATATTCTTAACTTTAGTGATTGAGCTTTTCGCTTGACCATTAACTGTGTTTTTTCTTAATTGATTATTTACTTAATTTTTTCGATAGAATATAGTTGTAAAAAGTTGCAAAAAGGGATTCTTTTTATTTTTTTAAGTTTAAACAATCTAATAGACTAAGTTTAACAAAAGCCCAAGGCAACCTCTACATGTGCATACTCCTCACATGCTAATGCGCAAAAGGCATACAAAGCGCACCTAAGGCGCATGTCTCAAACTATGATGCGCAAGCCTTTGGAGAGCAATGCCTAAAATCAAAGCCTTGATGCGTTTTACCTCGAGGCGAGACGGGCATCGAGGCGAGGTGGGCATCGAGGCGAGCCTTAGGAAAGCTTTTTAAAACTTTGATATATATGAATATATCATTCAAAGATAATAAAAAATGCAATATGACACTAATTCCTATAAATTTATATAATTTTTATTTCATTATTGTATCTTAAGTTGTTTTGTTCAAATTATAATTAGTTTCACATGTGTCTAATCAATAGACACATGTATTTAAGAGATACATACGTGTGTCCTCCAAATGTCCAAACAGTGTCCGAGTCTTTAAAAAATATTAAAAAATAGGACACATTTTGAAGAGTGTCGGACATGTGTCGGGGAAGTGTCCAAAGAGTGTCACCGTGTCGGTGTCCGACACGGACACAACACGGATACGTCCCCTTCTTAGAAGTGTCTGTGCTTCTTAGCCTAACACAAGCTTGGGGAACTAAGAAGATTGACTATGCTCAATAAAAAAAATTCTACAAGAAAATCCACAAATCAATAAAATCATAAAGAACTAGCACAGTAAAGGCGACATAAATTTGAGAAACATTTATGAAGTTAACACTCTTTATAATCCTAGTCCCACAGGAAGCCTGACTTCTATGGATTCCATCTCAATACTTACTTTGGACTCTTCAAGAGATAAAGATAAACTCCCCAAGAGCTTTATCCTCATCTTAACTAAGTCTCCTCTTCATTCTAGGACTCTTGTCCCTTATCCACTTATCTCGGATTCCGATATCTTCGGAGATAACCTCAGCCTTGCCGAGATCACCTCGGCGTCACGACCAGGCACCTCGGCTGACACGTCGGTGTCACCTTGCCACGTGTTGGTACTCAGAAAATATATCCCCACAGTAATTATACAAATGGTGTATATCATAGCTTGTCTTTTATAGTCATTTTACCTAAGGTTAAAATTGTAATAAAAAATAAACTAACTAATGGTATTTCTTGAGACAAAATGTAGTGTGTAAATAGAGCCTCCCCACATACTTCACATTCCAAATATACCCTCACCTTCTCTATGCACATCCTCTCATTCCCAGCCTCTCACAGTCCCTCGCATTGCCATTACCTCCATCGCAGACTCTCTCAAACTCTTCAATGAACCTAAAGCTTCTACACATGGCGCATAAACTACTAAACCAGTACTTGAATTCATAATCACTGTTTGTACCTCTTGAATCTTCAGTTTTTCTTTATCTGTAATAACGCGAAGCTCTTCTCCAAAGAGATTGATTTTTGATTTATTTTTTCATTGAATTTGAAACTCTTGAGAGTTAGGGTTTCGTAATTTGTCGATACAAAGCAAGTTTTCGCCATTTTGGAGTTTCACAAAGCTCTGTTTAAGGTATGTAATCGCTAGATCTCGTTTTGCATATGAATATATATATATATATATATAGAGAGAGAGAGAGAGAAGAAAATGAGTGTTAGCCTCTTTAATAAGCAGATTTGAAGAATGAAAGAGTTGTGTGTCTATGTATGTATGGTTAAAGGTTGGGCATGGGAGGCGATGGTCGGCGGTGAAGTGGAGAAATTGTGAAATGTGTGGGTGAGATGGTAATTTTGTTAAAGGATAAAATTGTGATTTTGAAATTTTTTTTAAGTGTGTGGAGTAAGGAAATTTGGTGTGTGGAAATAGAATTTCCCAATAGGTCTATGAGACATTTGATAGAATTTTTAATAAAATTTTAAGTAAATTGCAAACATATCCCCTGAGGTTTACTTAAATTACTAATTAGCCCCGTGGTTCTAGAAATTATGTTATGCCTCATAAGGTTTCTAACTTCATAACAAATAGGTCATTTTATTAATAAATCATCAAGTTAATTAATAATTCAGATAATTTTATTATTGTATAGGTAAACAGTTAGAAATTTTATTTTTTCAATTAATTCTGTTAAATAAAAAATTCTGATAGGAAGGTATTTGTAATTTTCCAAATCACAGGGAACAATACGTATTTTAAGTAAATCTTAAGAGATGTATTTGTAATTTACTCTAAAATTTTTAGAATCTCTAGTATCACTTAAACAGAAAAGCGCCACGTAGGACTTACACAAATTGAGGGCTGAAACTATTTTAGTGACACGGAATAATTTTTTGAAAAAATTACATTTCAAAGTTATTTTCAAAATTTATAATTTTATTTTTTTAATATTTATAAAATTTATTTTAAAATATTTTAAATATACACTAATGTGAAATTATCCCATAATTTTTTGAGGGAAGAGTCGAGACTCGAGATATCAAGCCACATTAGTTGCATGAAATTTTTTCTTTTGTTTAGCCTTTAATATGTTGGGCTACGAGGGACAACAAGACTGGTGGAAGGGGAACGGCCCAATTAACCCAAAGACTTATTGGACTTTCAGATTTCGGTATACACAAGTCAGAAAAGTCTATCACACGAGTTTCAAAATCCTATCAGACTCGATAATATATTAGAAAAATGTTCTATTAAAAAAAAAATATCTACAAATTTTTTAAATAATGTGATAAGAAAAAAATGAATTAACGACGCATCCTCCTACACTCCCTTTTTCTCTTACGCTGTGTTTGGTTGGGGGATTTGGGAAGGGAAATGGAAAGGGAAATGGAAATGAAAGGAAAAGGAGAAAGAATTAATAGAATTCCAAATCCCAACTATGTTTGGTTGTGTTGGTTATAAAATAGAATTGATGTCCTAAGAGGTCTCCAATTTCTTTATTTATTTCTCACCCCCTTTCTTTTCCCATATATTTTTTATTATAACCAAACATAAATAGGATTACATTTCTCATTCCTTTTCCAAATCCCACCTCAAAAACTCCAACCAAACACAGCATTAAGGATTGCCGCAATCAAACCAAGTGGATGGAGCATCTCTGATTCTAAATAGTTCCTGCGTGCAATTATAATTCAAATTGCAAATATTGTAATGTGACAATGTCTACTGCTAGAAATGATTCAAACCAGCATGAAATCCCTCCCTTATTGCATATGCATTTAAAGCATTACGAAACATTAAGATCTATGTTAGTTTCCTTCAAATCTGTTCACCATATTAAGATATGAATCAATTGTGCTCTGTTTTGATTATCCAGTCCAACTTTATCGATGTTGAATCATTGAGTTTGTTTTATTTGTCTTCTGGTGCAGTTGTTGGCATGTCATCTCACCGTTCTACGGGCTACAATGTTGACCAGCCTCGCAATCTTGCAAAGAGTGTTACAACCCAATGAGGAAGGTTTGTCTCACTTTTTTGAAGGGCTACATTGTTGACCATCTTCACAATCTCTCGGAAAAAATGTGGCAACCCAATTAGGAATCTTTATCCATAGAATTCTAATGCTCCTCACGTTTTAGAATATTGTGAAAAGCAGGATTTCCAACTGAACCCTTGCCTTCTTCTGGGCTCATAACCCCTCCTAACTTCTGTAATACAACTATTGCTTAGTTCTGTAACTTTTTCATTTGAGATAATTAAACACAGGTCCATATTACCCAACTCATACAATGATTTTGTACCTTCATCATAAGTTGATTTCATATTATGTGGTTTTTAAATAATTGCAAGTCATAACCTGAAACTCTCCTTTTCTCTCCTCTCCTCTCCCCTCCTCTCCTCCTGTTTCTTTGTGACTCGCAAAAACAGTTAAAACATAGCTATTCACCCCTAGGGTCACTTTATTAGTAAGTCCCTTCTAATATTACTTTTCTACTTAAATTATCATCATCATCAAAAAAATAAACAAATATATAAAAACTACAAGTAAGGGTATATTTCTTAGAAAAATGTTACTCTCTTATAACATGATCCACAAAATCACCTCCAATGATGTAATAAGGATTGGGTTTTACATGATTGATTTTTAAACTAATTAATAATTGATATGGAGAGAGATTGCAAG